ATGACTGACGAGGACACCGAGACCAGCACCAGCGAGATCGGGGAGGAAAACGATCTGCCTATCATCCAGCTGTTCAGCCTGGTCGAAGAGCTCAGGTATGGGGGGGCCTCCCCCCCCCCCCCCTCCGCTGGCTCCCGGACCCCGGGGGCCGGTCAAGTCCGCCTGGAACGCTGAGGCAGTGAGACCCCCCACAACGGGGGGGGGGGGATACTCGCCTTTGCCTTTCAGTGCTGCGTGTCCGCCGCCACCGACCTAACAAGCCGTGGATGGAGCCAGAACCACGTGGAGGTGTGAGGGTGCGGGGCCAGGGGAGCCAGAGCCTCAGCCTGGGGGTCTGCCTGGTGCCAAAAGGCATGCTCAGCCCAGCCTCTGCTCGGCGGGGGCAGGCTGGACCAGGCGGCCTCCAAGCACCTTGCCAATGCCAGGGATCTATGATAAAAGGGAAGCGGCAGCTGATACTGTTAGTCTGAGTCAAGTTATGCCTGGATCCATGCTATAAGCATGGAGATGAACAACAAAGAGTGACTGGCCCTGTGTTCCGTATTTTTAAAAATATATATTTTATTGATTTTTTTTTTTTACAGAGGAAGAGAGAGGGAGAGTCAGAAACATCAATGAGAGAGAATCATCAATCAGCTGCCTCTTGCACCGCCCCCCCACTGGGGATGTGCCCGCAACCAAGGTAAATGCCCTTGACCGGAATCGAACCTGGGACCTTTCAGTCCGCAGGCCGAGGCTCTATCCATTGAGCCAAACCGATTTCGGCAGTATTCTGTATTTTTAGCAGTCTGTTTTATACCTACTATAAAAGGTAAACTGGATAGCAAGATTCCACGGTGCAGTAGAGGTAATTGTACAACTTATTATTGGTTGCATACAGAACATCCTGGGTCTGGCCACACAGGTGCTCTGCCCTGCATCTATAACCAGTTTAGGTTTGCACTGAGGTATGACTACTAATAGCTCTTTTTATTATTTTTTAAAAATATATTTGATTGATTTTTTACAGAGAGGAAGGGAGAGGGATAGAGAGCTAGAAACGTCGATGAGAGAGAAACATCGACCAGCTGCCTCTTGCACACCCTCCACTGGGGATATACCCGCAACCAAGGTACATGCCCTTGACCGGAATCGAACCCGGGACCTTTCAGTCCTCAAGCCGACGCTCTATCCATTGAGCCAAACCGGTCTCGGCTGATTTATCGGGTTTTCATCGAGCCGTTTCCACTAATCTTAAAATTCAGCCAAACAGAAATGAACTCAATAACATAGGAAAATATCAAAGCTGTTCTCTCTCTGATGTAAACATGGGCATACAGGTGTGTTATACGTATGTATGCTACGTATATGTATCTATGAAGTGACAAAGCAAAGAGTCATACTCCTGGCTTAAACAGGATAAACCAGGTTTGTCCTCTCTAGTTGTTTAAAGCTTTTTCATCATTTATGATGCATTTCCAGTGGTTACTTCATCTGTTGGTTGCTGGAAAGGAAAGGAAAAAAAAAAAAAACCTGAAAAATTAAATCAAAGGAAACATCTGAAGATTCTGGACGTGACTTCCAGAATGAATGAATTCAGAAGGAATTTCACAAATGGGATAGAAGATGCTTGGAGATGAAGCTTGTAGCTTCATCTCCGCCACAATCTTCAACGTAATATGATTGATTTGAATTTTGCGTTCCTTAGACGTGTTAAAAACATGTCAACTACATAAATAGGCCTTATTATGTGCCAGGCATGTATGCTTTACATTCAATTGGCTTTACCTTTCTTACTGCAACCTAAGAGGTAGGTTCTGTTGTTATTCCCATTTTACAGGTGAGGAAACGGAGGCATTACGAGGTTAAGTATCTTGTAGAAGGTAAGTGTTAAATACTATTTATTTGGTGTTGACCTACCTACTAACAGAACTTACTCAGGTGCACTCTGTCTTGCAGCTATGGAAACTCTGCTCTCAAAACTGAGACAGAGATGTTTCAGAAATATTTAAATAAACTGGAATCCAAGGAACAGCGAATGCTGCGGTTGTCTGAAATTAAAATGTCAGGATCAGAGTTTGCACAGGTACACAGCTGAAGAGTTGTTTTGTTCAGTTTGTCCCCTTAGATGCGAGTGGTATTAGCGCACCTGCCTTGGCCAAGTGACATATGACTTTGTTCCTATTCTTTGATTCTTTCTTCCTTCTCAGGGTTTCTCTTTCAAGTCAGTGTGAAGAGAATCAGGTTTAATTAATAGTGGATTGACTCTCCCAGAATCTTTTTTCCCCCAAAAATCTTTTTTTTTTTAAATACATATTTTATTGATTTTTATAGAGAGAAAGGGAGAGGGATAGAGAGTTAGAAATATCCATGAGAGAGCCAAAACCGGTTTGGCTCAGTGGATAGAGCGTCAGCCTGTGGACTGAAAGGTCCTGGGTTCAATTCCGGTCAAGTGCATGTACGTTGGTTGTGGGCACATCTCCAGAAGGGGGTGTGCAGGAGGTGACTGATGGATGTTTCTCTCTCATCGATGTTTCTAACTCTCTCTTCTTCTCTATAAGAAATCAATAAAAATATATTTTTTTTAAAAAAGAAAAAAAAAGAAACATCCATGAGAGAGAAACATGGATCAGCTGCCTCCTGCACACCTCCCACTGGGGATGTGCCCGCAACCAAGGTACATGCCCTTGACCGGAATCGAACCCGGGACCCTTCAGTCCACAGGCCGACGCTCTATCCACTGAGCCAAACCAGTTGGGGCTCTCAGAACATCTTATTTTGTTTGAAATAGTTCCCTCAAGTTGGGAGATTCAAAATGTTTACAAGGCCCTGCCAGGCACTGGAAGAGGTGAGGTGGGCCTGTGTGGGTACTGGAAGGTTCCTTCCTTGTCTGCGAGGACCAGCCAGGTGGCCTGGGGTTGTCAAAAGTAGCTGATTTTTCCTGAGAAGCTGGAAATCTGAATTATTTTGGTAGTTTCCTGATTTTTCAAGTGTGGGTAATTATTTTGTTTAAATATATATATATATATATATATAATTGATTTAAGAGAGCAAGGGAGAGAGAGAAGAACACATTAATGATGAGAGAGCATCATTGATCATCTGCCTCCTGCACACCCCACACTGGGATCGAGCCTGCAACCCAGGCATGCAGCCTTGACTGGGGATTGAACCGTGACCTCCTGGTTCATGAGTCAATGCTCAACCACTGAGCCATGTTGGCTGGGCTATTTAATTTTTTTTGTTTTTAATTAAAAATTGTGTGTAAGCCTATCCTTTGAGAGCCAAACAATCCCATCTTGAGGTCCACCTATTTCCTGGGCCACCTGCATGTGAACCGTGGCTCAAATGCATAGGAGATCCAACATTTTTGTCCCTTTGTGTGTTTTTGCTGACTACTATGCCCCCCCCCCCCCCCACACACACACACCAATCCAATTTCTCTTCTGTGTTCAGCTTAGGAAGCTCTGAGCTCCGGGCTTTCCCTGGCACGAACTTGAATATTAGTCCAGGGCAGGTTCACTGTCTCTCCATCCTGGAGACACTGATTTATTTTTAGTTCATGGTCAAGCTTAGGCCTCGGGTTGGCTGGTGGCATAGGGGTCCCCTCCGGCCTAATAGCCAGAACCCTCTCGCTTTGAGTTTGTTCTCTCTGGCCGGTCTGAGGGGCCAGTGCCTTCCTGACAGCGGCTTTGTCTTCCCGGGGTGTAGCTGCGGAGCAGGCGGAAGTCCAAGTCCCGCTCAGGCACTGACCGGCTGACCACCCTCAGCGTGGACCAGAAGTGCGGCCTTGTGCGGAAGGAGCTGGAAGACACCAAGGAGGAGATAAGGCGCCTGCGGGCCAACGCCGAGCGGGACCTGCAGCATCACGAGGTGACCCTTTCTCCCTGTGGGGGGCCCCCCCACCTGGGTCCGTCCCTCTGTCCGTCCGTCTGTCTTACAGGAAGGACCTATGGGACGTTCAAGTGAGTGTTTGCACTTTGAAAGAAATACAAATAGATTGAGACAAATTGAGGCCCAACTTTTTTTTTTTTTTTTTTTTTTTTTTTTTGTCTATGGACATGATGGATTGGGTTAATTTTATTTTTATTTTTGTAAAAATGCTTTTACTGACCTAACTGGTTTGGCTCAGTGGATAGTGTCGGCCTGAAGACTGAAGAGTCCCAGGTTCGAATCTGAGCAAGGGCATGTACCTTGGTTGTGGGCACATCCCCAGTGGTGGGTGTGCAGGAGACAGCTGATCCGTGTTTCTCTCTCATCGATGTTTCTAACTCTTTATCCCTCTCGCTTCCTCTTGTTAAAAAAAAAAAAAAAAAAAAAAAAAAAAATCAATAAAATATATTTTAAAAAATAAAATAAACAACCATAGCCATAATAATCACAAATACCCTTAAAAATGTACACTCATTTCTTTTTAAAAAATATATATTTTATTGTTTTATTACAGAGAGGAAGGGAGAGGGATAGAGAGCTAGAAACCTCGATGAGAGAGAAACATCAACCAGCTGCCTCCTGCACCCCCCCCACCCCCAGGGGATGAGCCCGCAACCAAGGTACATGGCCTTGACCGGAATTGAACCCGGGACTCTTCAGTCCGCAGGCCAACGCTCTATCCACTGAGCCAAACCAGTTTCGGCTATCCTCATTTCTTAAGAATACAAGGGGGTTGAGGTTTAAGTCAGTGAGTTGGTTGAAAAATCCCTAAGCCTCCCTCTTTATGCAACATGCATGACTGTGGTCCGTGTCTTGTTGGAGGCCAACAAGGCCAGTTTTCCCCCAGAGAAGATTATAGATATATATATTTTTATAGATATGAAAATATATATCTACAAAGGCTCTGTTATTTGCCGCCTTATGTTTCCTATTCACATTTTTATTTTTATTTATTTATTTATTTAATATATTTTGTTGATTTTTTACAGAGAGGAAAGGAGAGAGATAGAGAGCTAGAAACATCGATGAGAGAGAAACATTGATCAGCTGCCTCCTGCACACCCCTCATGGGGATGTGCCCCAACCAAGGTACATGCCCTTGACCGGAATCGAACTGGGGACCTTTAAGTCCACAGGCCGACACTCTATCCACTGAGCCAAACCGGTTTCAGCCCTATTCACTTTTTGAGGTATGACTTTTGAAACGGAAAAAAAAGTCAACCGAAAATCGGGAGCAAAAGACCAAAATTGCACAAAAATTACCTTGACGGCAAAGCAAGTCTTTTCTTTGAAGTGGGAGGTAGTCTTATCAGCGAATATAGGCCTAAACCTATATTTTAACTGTAAAAAATATATATATATATTTATTAGGGGGTCGTCTTATACGCCGGAAAATACGGGTAATAGCATTCACGCAGTCACGTCTGCCTCTTAAGGGTATCCTTCTAAGACTAAAGGAACTCAGTATATCGGGCACAAAGAGGCCTGCGGAGGTGGTTTCCTCAGAGGGAGACATCCTTGGGAACTTTTGGGAACTCTGTCCTCTCTCTGTGCTGACCTTCCCCTCCCCCCCGCCCCCAGGCCATCATTGAGGAAGCTGAGATTCGGATGGATGAAGTCCAGAAAGCAATGCAAGAGTTTGAAAAGGATATTCTGAAAACCATATCCAAGAAGAAAGGGAGTATTCTGGCCACTCAGAAAATGCTGAAGTACATCGAGGACGCGAACCGCCGGCGGGTGAGTGGGCGGGAGGTTGGCGCTCAGAAAGGGAGGAGAGAGTCATTGAATGAGGATGTGAAGGGGAGGGGGGCAGCCCCCTGCACGTGGTCCCCCATCAGCGTTGCTATGTGTGAGGGTTTTTTTAGTCCATCTCCCCAAGTATGTTGTTGTTTTTAAATATATTTTATTGATTTCTTTTTTTTTTTTTTTTTTTTACAGAGAGGATGAGAGAGGGATAGAGAGCTAGAAACATCGATGAGAGAGAAACATCAATCAACTGCCTCCTGCACACGCCCTACTGGGGATGTGCTCGCAACCAAAGGTATGTGTCCTTGACTGGAATCGAACCCGGGACCTTTTAGTCCACAGGCTGATGCTCTATCCACTGAGCCAAACCGGTTCCAGCCATGTGTGTGTGTTTTAGAATGCAGATTTACACAGGCTGCATCAATCAGGCAGGGCGAATGTCAATAGTTTCTCAGATGGATGACTTATGTTTACTGTTGCTATTTGTTTCAAGATCTGATATGTTTCCTTCCTTCCTCCTTCTCTCCCTCCCCTTCTTCCTTCCTTCCTTCCATCACCACCCGAGGACATGCACTGAAGTTAGAGCGAGAGGAAGGGAGGGAGGGAGAAACATTGATGTGAGCGAGAAACATTGATTGGTTGCCTCCTGTATGTGCCTCAACCAGGGATCGAACCCAGAACCCGAGTATGTGCCCTGACCGGGAATTAAAGACCAAGAAACCTTCCGGTGTACAGGACAATGCTCCAACCAACGGAGCCACACCGGCCGGGACTATTATTTAGTATAAGAATGAGTCTAGCCGAAACCGGTTTGGCTCAGCGGTAGAACGTCGGTCTGCAGACTGAAGGGTCCCAGGTTCGATTCTGGTCAGGGGCATGTACGTTGGTTGCGGGCACATCCCCGGTAGGGGGTGTGCAAGAGGCAGCTGGTCGATGTTTCTCTCTCATCGACGTTTCTAGCTCTCTATCTCTCTCCCTTCCTCTCTGTAAAAAATCAATAAAATATATTTTTAAAAAAAGAAAAGAAAAGTTGCAGAGGACAGACCCAGCTCCCTCTCCTTCTCAGTGATGAAGGAAATGCAACACCAGCTTTCGTAGATGTCCCAGGACCTTCAAATAAGTGACTGATTGTTAGGGCTCGAGGTTTGGTGTGTAGCCTCAGACTGACCGACGGTTCAAACCAACAGGGTAGAGGAAGAGAAGTGGGTTAAAATTCGCTTTTATTTTCCAGGATAATATAAAGGACAAATTACGCTTGAAAAATGTTTCTCTCAAAGTCATGAGGAAAAAGCTGCTGTTACAGCTGAGGCAGGTACGTGGCTGCTTCTGTTCTTTCAGCGGCTGTGGTTTGTGTCCTAATTCCCGGAATTGGCAGATGTGATGGAAGTCGAGGATCTTGAGATGGAGAGATAATCTTGGATTGTCTGGGAAGGTTCCATGCAATCACATGCGTCCAAGTGAGGAGGAGAGAAGATGTGATAACAGAAGCAGAGGTCAGAGTGATGAGGGAGAACGAGAGAAACATCGATGGTGTGGGAATCATGGATCGGCTGCCTCCTGCACGCCCCCCACTGGGGATTGTGCCTGCAACCCAAGCATGTGCCCTTGACCGGGAATTGAACCGGTGACCTCTTGGTTCATAGGTCATTGCTCAACCACGGAGCCAAGTAAGCCGGGCTGGTGTATTTTAAAGAGGAAAATAATATATATATTATTGATTTTTAGAGAGAGGAAGGGGGACAGACGGGGTGGTCAGTTTGTTGGTCCACTTATTTTTGCATTCATTGCTTGATTTGTGTATGTGCCCTGACCGGGGATCAATCCCCACAACCGTGGCATATCACGACGATGCTCTAAGACAGAGCTCTGAAGGCAGAGGGAGGCGTCCTGAGCGAAGGCAGGCAAGCAGGCGCCTCTAGCAGCTGGCAACAGCGAGGGAGCAGTCTCCCCAGGGGCCTCTGGAAGGAATGAGGCCCTGCCCACACCTTGGTTACAGCCCAGAGAACTGTCTCGGGCTCTGACCTCCTGAGCTGTGAGGTGGTGGATTTGTGTTGTTTGATAGGCTGCTGAGTCTGTGGTTACTTGTTACAGCAGCCACGGGGAACTAATACAGCTGGTAACTCTGTAGACAGAGTTGGCTTGAATCTAAAAGGCCCAGCGTCGTACTTGTTTTTTTGTTTGTTTTTAAAAATATATATTTTATTGAGTTTTTACAGAGAGGAAGAGAGAGGGATAGAGAGCTGGAAACATCGATGAGCGAGAGACATCGATCAGCTGCCTCTTGCACACCCCCTACTGGGAATGTGCCCACAACCAAGGTCCATGCCCTTGACCGGAATCGAACCTGGGACCCTTCAGTCTGCAGGCCGACGTTCTACCGCTGAGCCAAACCGGTCTTGGCCAGCGTTGTACTTGTTGCTGCTTTTGGGGGATGTGGCCCGGGTGGCACGGTGGTCATGTTCTTTGGTGAGTCCTTGGGCAGCTGACCTAACGGCAGGAAGGCGGATGTGCAGAGGGTCCCCGGGCTGTGATGACAGGACTGCATCCTCTCCTCGCTCCGTGGGCTCATTGTTAGCTGGAACCCGGGCACCGATGGCACGCAGGTCAGAGGTGGCCCCGGACAGGGACACAGCATCGGGCAGCAGAATTTACACGTCCAGGGACTAGTGCTTGATGGACTTGGGATCTGGGACGGCACAGAGTGACTGAGGACACATGCAAGCTCCTCTCCGTCGATCCCCAACATTTCTGCACAGTGTCCCCCACCAGGAAAGGATCACGTGAAGAATAGTTCACATGATCTATCTCGGCCTTCATAGCCGGACCTGGAGCCCTGTGCCTCCACACTGCACCTGCCCGTGGACCCTCACCCAGGATGCTCTCCGTGAGGCCAGGGGGTGGCCCATACACTCAGATCTCTGCCCCCAGGGCCCGGTGCCCCGCCCGGCCCCATGAGCGTTGACCTATGAACCAGGCTGTGTTGGTTGAATGACCGGAAGATGCCCGGCTTCCAGAATCTCACCCGGAGTTGCGGGGTGTGGGCCACCCGCTCGGAAGTCCCTCCCTCATGTCCCTCCTCCCTCTCCTCCGCCTGCAGAAGGAAGAGGTGGGTGAGGCCCTCCACGACGTGGATTTCCAGCAGCTGAAGATCGAGAATGCCCAATTCCTAGAAACGATCGAGGCCAGGAACCAGGAGCTGATCCGGCTGAAGATGGCGTCCGGGACCACCCTGCAGATCCTCAACTCGTACAAAGTAAGCCCACCCCGGTGCCCAGGCCCCTGCCACCGGGCGATCCCGGGCGCCGCGGCCGCTTCCCGCGGGGAGCGGTGGCCCTCGGCCTCCCTCTGCTCCCCGGCTCCTCCTGCAGCACCCCAATGTTCTCACAGCCTGGCTGTGCATTCGACCACCCCAGGAGCTTCTACTTAAAAAAAAAAAAAAAAAAAAAAAAAAAAAAAAAAAAAAGTTTTTTTTATTGATTTGAGAGAGAGGAAGGGAGAGGGAAAGAGGGATGGAAATGTCAATGATGAGAGAGAATCAGTGATCGGCTGCCTCTTGCATGCCCCACACCGGGGATACAGCCCCCAACCTGGGCCAGTGCCCTGACAGAGAATTTGAACCATGACCTCCTGGTTCATAGGTCAACGCTCAACCACTGAGCCATACGAGCCAGGCGCTTCTACTTTTTAAAAAAGATATAAGGACACCCTAGTCGCACCCCGACCAATTGAATTAGGGGGCGAGGGCCATCCATCTTTATTTTATTTTATTTTTTTTAACGCCCCAGATGATTTTATGCACAGTGCGTTCTGAGAGCTAACCACACTGAGGGCCCTGTTTTGCTTAGGCAAATAAAAAGCATTCCCTGCTTATAAACCCTGCGAAGGAAAACCATCTTTTTTTTTTTTTTTAAATATATTTTATTGGTTTTACACAGAGAGGAATTGAGAGGGACAGAGAGTTAGAAACATCAATGAGAGAGAAACATCGACCAGCTGCCTCTTGCACACCCCCAACTGGGGATGTGCCCGCAACCAAGGTACATGCCCTTGACTGGAATCGAACCCGGGACCTTTCAGTCCGCAGGCCGATGCTCTATCCACTGAGCCAAACCAGTCCCGGCAGGAAAACCATCTTAGCTATAAATCAGAACGCTGCTAAGTCAGTCCTCACCCACACCGAACCCTTTTCGGAGAAAAGGAGGCGCTATTAATAACTAAGCAGGGCCATAGGCGTGAGCTGGGCCTGTCCCCAGCAGGCTGGGCTGGGGACACCCTGCTAGCAGCCGGCCGAGGCGGCGGTCAGTCAACCCACGAGCCGGTGAGCCAGGAATGGCTGTCACGGAACATGTGCAGTCTGTTTGGTAGAGAACACTACCTTTGGGACCCGATGAGGCAAAACCAGCTTCTCCCCTAATGACGCCATTCTTCCCCTTAGTGGACCTGCAGTCCAAACGATCATATTAATACTTCATTCCGACATTGGAAGTCTTATCAATAAAACATTTGTGGAGAATTGGGTCCCCCCCCCGCCTCTTGTTCATATAAGTAACTGTATAGCATCCTCAGTCTTGCCTCTGGGCCTGCAAAACTTAAAATATTTCCTGTCTGTCTGGGCCCAGGTAGTAGCTGTGGCTACGGGTTCCGGTAGCTCACATAAGGGCATCATGTGGCCCACACGTATGTGAATTGGGCCCGGCCAGCGTAACTCAGTGGTTGAGTGTCGACTTATGAATCTGGAGGTCACAGTTTGATCTCTGGTCAGGGCACATGCCTGGGTTGTGGACTCAATCCTCAGTGGGGGTGGGTGGGTGCAGGAGGCAGCCGATCAATGATGCTCTCTCATCATTGATGTTTCTATGTTTCTCTCCCTTCCTTTCTGAAATCAATAAAAATATACACCAAGTGGCCAGATTATTATGACCTCTGAATGCATAATAATCTGGCCACACAGTGTATATTCTATATAATAAAAGGCTAATATGCAAATTGTCCCTTCTACCAGGAGTTCGATCAGCAGGCAGGCCGGCCAACCACCCATGGCGCTTCCCCTCCCAGCCATGCACGAATTCATGCACCAGGCCTCCAATATATATATATATATATATATATATATATATATAATTAGTAGTATTATTAGGCTTTCAGAGATCATAATAACCTGGCCACTCAGTGTGTATTTTTTAAAAAGTGAGTTGGAATGTGTTCAGACTAGGCTGATGCTCGTCCAGGATTTTCCTTTCTCGGATGAAAAACCAGAGGCCCAGAGAGGCAGGGTAATTGCCAGGTTCAGACACCAAGTCTGCGGCTCGCTGCGACTCCTGGCCCAGCGCCTGTCCCACCTGAACACGCGTCTTCCCCCGGCCCCGAGGTGTGTAGGCAGCACGGTGCCGGCATTCTCAAACTCGCTCACCCAGGACGGTGCCGTAACCGTGGCTTGGACCTTATCTCATCCACAGTTAGCTTATCTGATCCCTGCTGTTCGGAGCGGAGCCCTCCTCCGGACTCCCAGGCCCTGCTCACATCACGTCATCACGCCGGGCCTGGATCTTATCCTGCCCACCCAGCTGCACAGCACAGGGCCTGTCTGATCTCGTGGGGGAAGGCCAGGGCTCTGGTTTATAAGATGAACCTGGCCGTTGGCTGGCAGGCCGGCACTCGTGGGGACGTGTCTAAACACACAGCGTGGGTGGTTGGCGTCTCGGAACCCGGGCAGCAGGGGCACGGGCTGCGGTGGCCAGAACAGGAGCCGTGTCCGTCCGAACCCCAGGGGCCACTTTCCTGGTGACAGATGATAGGCAGCAGGTGACAGAGCCCCTCCCAGGAGCTCTGCAGTGGGCACAGCGAGGGGCCGAGGGAGAAGCTGGCCCACTCCCTCCGAGGCCCAGAGCTCACCTCCCGGCAGGCAGGCAGCTGTGCGTAGTGAGGACTTCACGTCCCGGAGTCTGTGTGCCTCGGGGCTCCGGCCGGTCCGTGCTGTCCCCCCAGCACCAAGGGCACCCAGCACCGTGGCTCGAAGGGTGTCTACAGAGTGACCCCAGCAGGCGGGGTCCCTCTGCCTGGACTGCAGGGATCAGGCCCAAACCAGCACTTGGACAGCCCTCTGCAAAGTTGCTATCGGCACAGGGTGTGGAACGCAAATGCTCGTGTGTACAGGAAACCAGATTCGGGGCTCACAGTGCCCCCAGCAACCACCTAACCCACAGCCAAAGGTGGAATTACCAATCCCCCCCACCCCAGGCTCCCTCCTCTCTGGTTCCGGGCGTGTCACCCCAGAACCTCCGCTGCCAAGTCACTGCAGCTCGGCAGCTCCTGCTCCGAGCGTCTGCCCCCTGGTGGTCAGTGTGGTCGGACGGGACACTTGTAAGTGGGGTCTCAGCAGCTCGCCCCCTGCAGGTGAGGATAAGACGCCCAGGCGCTCTCCTCCCGGCCACCCAGACACCAAGATGCTGAAAACCTGGGCATGTGGAAAGGGCAGGGCTCGGCTCACAAAGAGCCGCCTGTCCTCGGCGGAGCTCCCTGGGGTGGGCTTTGCTCAGGGCGGGCCGCGCTGCTCTTTCAGACCAGGCTGCAACGAGCCATAGAGATGTCCATCAACCTGGTAAAGGAGATCCAGCAGAGACACGAGTTGCTTGAAAAAATTGAGAGAGAAGCCCTGCAAGTAGAAGAGGTAAGAGCGGGCTCAGTGTGCCACGTCTGGTGTTTGCAAGGGCCTGAGTCGTCATCCACCAGGATCCAAGCCACCCAGCCCTGACCGGTGTGGCTCAGTGGGTAGAGCGTCGGCCTGCGGACTGAAGGGTCCCAGGTTCGATCCCGGTCAAAACCATGTACCTTGGTTGCGAGCACATCTCCAGTAAGAGGTGTGCAGGAGGCAACTGATGGATGTTTCTCTCTCGTCGATGTTTCTCTCTATCCCTCTCCCTTCCTCTCTGTAAAAAAAAAAAAAATCAATAAAACATATATATATTTAAAAATATATATTTTATTGATTTTTTACAGAGAGGAAGGGAGAGAGCTAGAGAGCTAGAAACGGCGATGAGAGAGAAACATCGACCAGCTGCCTCTTGCACACCCCCCACCGGGGATGTGCCCGCAACCAAGGCACATGCCTTTGACTGGAATCGAACCCGGGACCTTTCAGTCCGCAGACGATCTACCACTGAGCCAAACCAGTTTCGGCAAAACATATATATTTTTTAAAAACCCAAGCCACCTAGATTTTTTTTTATTTTTAATCCTCACCGAAGGATATTTTTTCCATTGACTTCTAGAGAGAGTAGAAGGAAGGGAGATAAAAACACTGACGAGAGACACACACACATCGATTGGTTGCTTCCCACATGCGCCTGCCCCTACCAGGCCTGGGGAACCTGCAACAGAGGTACACACCCTTGACCAGGAATCGAACCTACGTCGACCCTTTGGTCCTCAGGCCGACGCTCCAACCACTGAGTCACACCACCCAGGACAAGCCACCTTGAGTTTTGTCTAGAAAAGGTGACACCATAAAAAAATAAAACTATCCCTGAGCTGTCAAAGGAGAAAGTGGTACCTGGAGGTTTGCAGTCTAGCAGCGCGGCCTTCTGCTGCTGGCTTAGGGTCTAGAGTCGGCTCACAAGGTAGAGATTGTGTAGAGTCCAAACAATCCTCAAGAATTCCTTAAATGGCCCATAAAGTAAGATATTGAAAGTGTTGCATGTACAACCTTGCAAAAATTATAACATGCTTGTAATGATGTAACTCGGCAAACTCATTCGTCAACAGAGCCAAATATGAAAAGGACAATGATGGACATTTCTTTGGAGAGCCACATTTTTTAAACTTAAACTTCTTCTAACGCCACTTCTTCAATCTAGACTCGCCCAGGCCGTGGTGTTTTGTGGAAGAGCCACACTCAAGGGGCCAAAGAGCCGCGTGTGGGTCTCAAGCCGCCGTTTGCCGACCACGGATGTAACCGATATGGAATAGAGCACACAGACACCAAGAGGCAGTGCCCGTCAGACACCTGACCCTCACTCAGTGCAGTGGCTGCGTGGACGGCAGACCTGACCTCCGTCCTGGGCTCTCTCCGGGCCCTGCGGTCACTGAGATGTGGCAGCATCCACATTGGGATTCAGCACGCTCTGTTTTGTGACACCCCCCCCCCCCACACACACACACCTTTGAAAATGTGAACATTGCCGAAACCAGTTTGGCTCAGTGGATAGAGCGTCGGCCTGCAGACTGAAGGGTCCCGGGTTCGATTCCGGTCAAGGGCATGTACCTTGGTTTCGGGCACATCCCCAGTGGGGGGTGTGCAAGAAGCAGCTGATTGATGACTCTCTCTCTCATGGATGTTTCTAACTCTCTATCTCTCTCCCTTCCTCTCTGTAAAAAAATCAATAAAATATATTCAAAAAAGAAAAGAAAGAAAATGTGAACATTGTTTTCAGAACTAGCTGCAGCTGGGGAGAGATTGGGGGGCCAGCAAGTCCCCGGGGGCCGGAGGCAGCAGGGAGCCGGTGACTCGGTCCTTCCCCGCCAGGACCGGGCCAAGGCCGAGGCCGTGAACAAGAGGCTGCGGAAGCAGATGGCCGAGTTCCGGGCGCCGCCCGTGATGATGTACGTCCGGGAGAAGATCTTCAACGGGGAGCTGGAGAAGACCATCCGCGTCTGGGAGCGCAAAGTGGAGATCGCCGAGGTAGGGGGCCCCCCCGCCCCCGTCCCCGAGAGGCCCCGGGTGGGCAGACTTCCAGGCCCTTCCCATTTTTTGTCTGCGACTTAGTTTTTTGAGCTAACGAAACAGATGCTTGGACACGTAACATCTGAGAGGAGTCTCCACAGCTTTTTGAGCCTTATATTGAAACAAAGGATGACTTTATTTTTTTAAAAAAAATAATTTTTATTATTTTATTGATTTCAGAGAGGAAGGGAGAGGGAGAGAGAGAAACATCAACAATGAGAGAATCCTTGATCGGCTGCCTCCTGCACGGCCCCTACTGGGCATCGAGCACGAAACCCAGGAGTGGGCATCAAGCCTGGACCTTCTGGTTCCCCGATGACGCTCAGTCTGCAGCCTGGCCGGGGTCAGGCTGGGCTCCCTTAGGAGGCGTGCAGGAGGCAGCCGCTCCCTGATTCTCTCATCCTCAATGTTTCTCTCTCTCTCCCTCTCCCTTCCTCTCTGAAATCAATAAAAACTTGATGGGAGAAAAACCCCAAAACCAATTTCTAAAAGACATAGAGGACAGCAGGGCTTTCACACCCCACCCTGGCCCCGCTTCCCACCGCAGGAAATAAACTGGGATCCAGCCCGGGCCCAGCAGACCCGAAGCTGAGAAGTAGCAGAGGATCCCAGGGGGAACCTGCAGCTTCTCGCTTCGCCCACCAGTAACAAGCTCTTTAGAGCAGCGGTCGCCAGCGGTTGGTCCTCGGAGAGAAGGGAGAGTGAGAGTGAGAGTGAGAGTGAGAGTGAGAGTGAGAGGGAGAGTGAGAGGGAGAGTGAAAGGGAGAGGGAGAGGGAGAGTGAGAAGAAGAGAAAGAGGGAGAGGGAGAGGGGAGAGGGAGAGGGAGAGGGAGAGGGAGAAGGAGAGGGAGAGTGAGAGGGAGAGGGAGAGGGAGAGGGAGAGTGAGAAGAAGAGAAAGAGGGAGAGGGAGAGGGCGAGGGCGAGGGCGAGGGCGAGGGCGAGGGCGAGGGTGAGCTCACTGGTGCTCCGTGAGGTCCGAGAGATTGGCGACCGCCGCTTCAGACGACCCTCCCACGGGCCCCTGGGTCGCCCCGCCCCGTGGGCACCGGGGCCACCCTCCAGGGCTGTGCTCAGCCCGGTCACAGCCCACATCTCCCGAGTGACCTCTCCCCTCTCCCGTCCCTCCCGCAGATGTCCTTGAAGGGCTACCGCAAGGACTGGAACAAGATGAAGGCCTCCAACGAGCAGCTGCAGCTCATCAGCCCCCCCGGGAAGGAGCCGGAGGGAGGCCATGGGCTGTGGGACCAGAAAGCAATCCATTAAAAGCACCAGCTCCCTTCCCGTCACCGGGCTCCTCTCTCTGTTCCCCGGGCCGGCCGGTGTCCCCGACCCTCCAGCCAGGCCCACGGCCACCTCCCGGCCGGGCCCCTGGAAGCGCTGACACGGAAAGAACCACAGGGCGCTGGCCGTTTGGCTCGGTAGCCCGCCTTTACTTCAGAGCACAGGTGACGGTGCTGGGAGCAGGTGGCAGTGAGGGGGGGAGAGGAGGGGGGCGGGCAGTGAGACAGGGGGAGAGGGGGCAGGGAGACGGGGGGTGCAGGCAGTGAGACGGGGGTGCGGGCAGTGAGACGGGGGGGGGGCAGTGAGACGGGGGGGGGGAGAGGGAAGTGAGATGGGGGGCGGGCAGTGAGACGGGGGGAGGGGGGCAGTGAGACGGGGGGAGGGGGACAGTGAGATGGGGGGTAGGGGGGCGGGCAGTGAGACGGGGGTGGGGTGGGGTGCGGGCCGCAGGCCGGGCCGGGGCAGTGGCGCTGTGGCGCTCAGGCGATCAGGCACCCGCACGGCGTGGCGGGGGCCGGGCACTCGGCATTCTGAGCCTTCTCTTCCGTGGCCGGGCGGGGGAGAGGGGGTTAGCTCCCAGGCCCTCTCCCGTTCCAAAGGAACACCAGCGCAGAGCAAAGCAAGAGCGTTTCCTGGGGCCGATGCCACCCGTCCTGGCCCGACACGGACGCTTGGTGGCCGGCCTCGGGCTCGCTGTAGTAGTCGTAGTAGGCGGGCTGGGCCTCCTCGTCCCCCGGGGCGCTGCCCAGGTCCCTCATGCCCTTCCCCGGGGGCTCTGTGCCCCCGAAAGAGGTGCTCTCCGGCCACGGGGTCCCGCTCGCCGGCTCCGGGAGCTGCGTCTCGGCGGCGGGCGCCCCGGGGCCCTCGGCGGGCGCCTCCTCCTCGCCCTGGCGGCGGCGGTACTGGTGGAAGGTGGACAGGGGGAGCAGGCTGTCCGTCTGCGTCTTGGCGGTGATCCAGTCGCTGTAGTCGTCCACCTTCACGTACAGGAAGAGGCCAGGGCACTTCTCGCCGCCCTGCGTCAGGACCCCTCGCAGCACCCACAGGTCCAGCCCCTGCAGCTGGCACATGAGCGGGTTGCCCGGCTCCCCCTGTGGCAGAGGACGGGAGGCTTCAGGTCAAAAAAGGACTTTTTTGTTTTTAGTTATTTTTTTTAAAATACATTTTTATGGATTTTGGAGAGGAAGGGAGAAGGGGGAGAGAGAGAGAGAGAGAGAGAGAGTGAGAGAGAGAGAGAAACATCAATAGCGAGAGAGAATCCTGGATTGGCTGCCTCCTGCACGCCCCACACGGGGGATCGGGCCGGCAACCCAGGCCTGTGCCCGACCGGGAATCGAACTGTGACCTCCTGGTTCATAGGTCACCGCTCAACCCCTGAGCCACACCGGCCGGGCTAAGAGAACGTTTCATTGTTAACACATCCCTGTGCAATTTAAGGTTTGCTCCAGAAGTGCTTAACCCCGGTTCTCGCTGGAAATGGGGGTGGACGATTGGGTGCTCTTTCCAATCTAGGCCGCCCCCGCCACCAATTTCAACAAGATGACTTTTCCTTTCATGGGGCAAATTGTCGACTTCTGCACTTTGCCTGTAGCTTCCTGGTTCGCATTTCATCGTCTTGCCTCTTTTCAAGTCCTGGGACTAAATCCCTCTCCCACTTCCTCACGCCTCGAAAGTTGATATTCCTTTCCTTTCTGCCCTGGAATGGTCACCTTTTCCCCTCTCCTCTCTCTCTCTCTCTCTCTCTCTATCTCTCTCTCGTTTCCATCCTCCATTGAAGCTGCTCGCTCGTACCCACAGTCCTGCGAGGGTCAGGGTCACGCTGGTCTAGGGTCACCTGGCAGCCGCCGGTCCCTGCGCGTGCTCCTGGCATTGCCTGCTCCTGTGGGAGCGGCCCCGAGGCCACGGGAAGTCTGCCACACAGACCTCTCCCCCCGCCCAGGTGTGGGGTGGGAGCTTGGACACGTGGCTGGCTAGGTGACCCTGGCCAGTTACCTAGGTTTGAAAGTGGAATTGCCTAACCGTGTTCCGCTGACATCGGCGACTGGGCGTCCGTTCTGTGGATGTTTTACTGAGCACTTGCTCTCTGCCACGTGCTGGCCAACACAGACAGAGTCAGTCCCTGACAGCCACGAGTCTCACGTGACGGTCCCTGCCTCAGGAGTTCCCCATCTCTGGAAGTGACACTGCTTCCTCTTCCCATTGAGCTTCTACTCCCTCATGTCCTTTTTTTTCTTTGTCAGTCCTCACCCTAGGATATTTTCCCAACGATTTTTAGAGAGAGTGGAAGGGAGGGAGAAGGAGGAGTGAGAGAGAGACGGAGAGAAAGAGACGGAGGGACAGAGAGTGAGAGAAACATCAATGTGAGAGAGAGAGAGAGAGAGAGAGAGACAGACATCAATTGGTTGCTTCCCACACACGCCCTGACCTGGGCCGGGGATCGAGCCTGCAACCGAGGCACATACCCTTGACCCGGAATCGAACCCACTACCCTTCAGTCTGCCTGCTGGTGCTCTAACCACTGAGCAGACAGGCCAGGGCGAGGCCATCACGTCCTTACCAAGCAGACAGTGTCGGTTTCCTGCTCCACGTGGCTGCCACATCCCGTTTTCTGGAACTGGTTCAGGGGACACAGGTTGATGTCTTGCACGGAGATTTTCCTCAGGATGCTCATCGTCATCTGCTCTCCCGTCTGCACCACGCAACGGAGAGCCCAGAATTACCGGCCAGAAGACACTCCCGCAGCCCGCACACCACCGCTCACATGTCCCGACAGGAGCGAGCAGACCCGCGCCGATAGACCCCTTTCTTCCTGGACACCGGGCCCGGGGCCGAGACTTTACTGAAAGCGACTTTTGCTTTGAACGTGAAGGTGACCATAGGCAGAGAGCATATTTATTCCTTTCCAACATCTACAGAGAACACATGTCCTTGGTCATTTCACCAAGAAAACCAGGATGGCTTAGCCAAGAGGACGGTTCGCTCTCGTTTCGGGGAGTAATGTCCCTGGGCCCCCCCCCCCTCGTCCCCCCCGGAACTCGCCCTGATGTCGGGTTGCCGGGTGCCTGTGCACTTCCGGTTGTGGCCCATGTAGGACTAGGAGAAAAAAGGACCAAACGTCAGAATGGCCACGGGAAGGGCACGCACTGGGAATCTTGACTGATTAGCTGTGGGTTTCTGCCCAACCCTAGAATCTCCGAGCCACCTGCATTCTTAAGATAAGCCTAGCCTGGACTGCATGGCTCAGTGGTTGAGTGTTGACCTATGACCCACCAGGTCATGGTTCAGTTCCCATCGGGGCACATACCAGGGTTGTGGGGTCGATCCCCAGTGTAGGACGTACAGGAGGCAGCCAAACCACAATGCTCTCTCATCACTGATGTTTCTATTTCTCCCTCTCCCTTCCTCCCTGAAATCAATAAAAGTATTTTTTATTTAAAAAAAAAAATAAGCCCGCCCTAACTGTTTTGACACAGTGGATAGAGTGTCGGCCTGCCGATTGAAGGGTCCCGGGTTCCATTCTTGTAGGGGGTGTGCAGGAGGCAGCTGATCAATGTTTCTCATCGATATATCTAACTCTCTATCCCTCTCCCTTCCTCTCTGTAAAAAATCAACCAAATATATATTTTTTTAAAAATTAAAAAAAAAGAAAAAAGATGCTCTAACCACTGAGCAACCCGGCCAGGGCGAGTGCGTCCCCCTACTGCTAGCACACACAGCCTCCACCTGGAGAAGGAAGGCGTAACTGCAAGCGTGGGGTTCCAGCCGGCCACCCAGCAGTTGCGCGAGCCCAGCGGCATGTACAGCTTCCGGCCCAGGAAGCAGATGGGCTGCACCAGGCCGCTGAACTGCATGGCCGTGTCTGTCTTCAGGAGGGCTAAGTTGTTGGCCAGCGTCTTGCTGTCAAAGTGCTCGTGGACGATGATGGTGTTGACCGGAAACTCCTCGTGAGCAACCTCCGAGGCGTTCATCCTCGCGATCCCCACGATGGCCATGGCGTCCTTCCTGGAGGGGAAGCGAGGGGGGTCTTGAGAAGCCGAGGCACTGAGAAGGCTGCATGCTTCCCCGTTTCCATGGTGACTGTCCTTTCCCGCTCATCTGCCCTGGGCTGTTACTCACCCTCTGCACCCAGGCCCAGGGCACCTGCCCCGCTTGTGGGCTCCATCCCCAGTAGGGGGCATGTAGGAGGCAGCCGATCAATGATTTTCTCCATTATTGATGTTTCTGTCTCTCTCTCTCCCTTCCTCTCTGAAATCAATAAATATATATATATATATATATATATATATATATTTTTTTTTAATATATTTTATTGATTTTGTACAGAGAGGAAGGGAGAGAGATAGAGAGCTAGAAACATCGATGAGAGAGAGTCATCGACAAGCTGCCTCTTGCACACCCCCCACTGGGGATATGCCCGCAACTAAGGTACATGCCCTTGACCGGAATCGAACCCGGGTCCTTCAGTCCCCAAGCCGACACTCTATCCATTGAGCCAAACCGGTCTCGGCTAAAAATATATTTTTTAAAAAGCAAAAAGAAAAAGACAGATTTAGTCAACTCTAGAGCTGAATGGAGGAAATCCAGCAAAAGAAATGTCCATAAATGTGGAATTCATTATAATTTTTTACTAAATTAAAGACTTTCAAACATTTATATGGGAGTAAAATGTAAACCTAGGCAATGATCGCCGGGACCGGTTTGGCTCAGTGGATAGAGCGTCGGCCTGCGGACTGAAAGGTCCTGGGTTCGATTCCGGGCAAGGGCATGTACCTTGGTTGCGGGCACAGCCCCAGTAGGGGGTGTGCAAGAGGCAGCTGATCGATGATTCTCTCTCATCGATGTTTCTAACTCTCTATCTCTCTCTTCCTCTCTGTGAAAAATCAATAAAATATATTAAAAAAAAAAAAAAAAAACCTAGGCAATGATCAAATGGTTTCACTAAAGCTGAAAAGAAAGAGGTTTTTAAATCATCTTCGGTAGAAGTCGAAACATATGATTTATTTATATAATCCTATATAATGAAAGGCTAATATGCAAATTGACCTATTGCTAGAACAACTGGTCGCTATGATGCATACTGACCACCAGGGGGCAGATGCTCAATGCAGGAGCTGCCTCCTAGCAGTCAGTGCATTCCCAGAAGCTCTGAGCAGGGATCACACTGGCGAGCACAGTGACAACGGCAGAAGCCTCTTCCGCCTCCGGGACAGCACTAAGGATGTTTGTTCCTCACGGAGAGTGGGCCTAAGCCATCAGTCGGACATCCCCCGAGGGCTCCCGGACTGTGAGAGGACACAGGCCAGGCTGAGGGAACTCCCCCAAGCGCACGAATTTTGTGCACCAGGCCTCTAGTAAATATATAAAAAACAGGATGCATAAATATGCATATGAATTGAGGGAAACATTAAAGCACATATGCAATCTATTAAAATTGGCCAATGGCCCTAGCTGGTTTGGCTCAGTGGATAGAGCATTGGCCTGTGGACTGAAGAGTCCTGGGTTTGATTTCGGTCAAGGGTGCTATATATATATATATATATTTTTTTTTTTTTTTTAAATATATTTTATTGATTTTTCACAGAGAGGAAGGGAGAGTGATAGAGAGTTAGAAACATCAATGAGAGAGAAACATCGACCAGCCGCCTCCTGCACACCCCCCACTGGGGATGTGCCTGCAACCAACGCACATGCCCCTGACCGGAATCGAACCTGGGACTCCTCAGTCCGCAGACCGACGCTCTACCACTGAGCCAAACCGGTTTCAGCAGATCCCTACACTTAAAGGCTCGCGTGTTTCCTGCACGTGGTGAAGGCCCCAGGCGAGCTTTCAAACCAGGGCTCCTACCAACCTCAGTGCCTCTGCGTCCCCAGTGAAACCGACAGGAAGGAACGACCTTCCTGCAGAGGATGAGAGGCAGCGGCTGCTCCGAGGCTGGCGTCTGGGGACCGAGGACCCAGGACATGAGGCAGCTCTGAGCCGGGAACAGGCCTGTCACCCCGTCTCCTGGAGTCCCCCTGCCAGGCCCCCCCAGGGCGCCCTGAGGCCCGGGCAGGGTACTGGCCTGTGCTGGAAGGCGGACGCGATGCTGAGGATCCAGAACTCGCTGAGGATGCTGCCGAACGCCAGGTGGGCGTGGTGGGAGCTCTGCAGCGACACCACCCACGGGAACTCCCTCTCGCTGACCAGCCCCTCCTCGGCAGGTCCTATATCGCTGGTTTCCTGGATGCCACAACCTGCTGAGGGGGGTGCGGGAGGCCTCACCGCTGGGGCGAGGTTGGGGGCGGAGGACGGGGGGCCTGTGGCTACCACCCCACACCCGACCGCAGGCCCCCCTCCTGCTGCCCCCCGACTCCGTCCGGCTCGCCGTGAGCTCACCCACCCCCGTTTCTCACCTAGTTGGGGTCCTTCCCTATGAGAGAGAGGATGGTGCCCACACAGGGGGTCGCCGGTCCACCCTCGCCGGTCTGTGCCTCCAGGGGCCCTCTCACCCCCACCCCTGCAGAGTGGGATGCACACTCCACCCACCTGCTCACGGCCCCCCTCCCGCACCCCCGGGGACTGGGCCTGGGCATTTTTTTAAAGCTCCCAGGCCCTGGCCCGTTTGGTTCAGTGGGCAGAGCATCCGCTCCGGGGACGGAAGGGGCCTGTGGTCCAAGAGGGCTCTGCGGGGACGGGGAAGGCGGGCACTCACTGGCAGCAGCGTGGGAGGCGCAGAGCAGCAGCACCAAGAGCGCCCCGGTGGTCCCCGCCATCCCCAGGCGCGGCCGCGGCAGACACCATGGGCAGCTGCGGGAACAGCAGTGTTTCCTCCCCTCCCTGGCCGGTGCCTCCCACCAGGGTCCGTCCAAGGCCGGGCCCCGCCCCGCCCTCCGCCCCGCGGGAGGGACACACCTGTGCGGTCCGGAGGCAGGGACCGGGCGCCGGGCACCGGGACTCGGTGGGGACCCGTGAGCTGGCCCCAGATCCAGCCAGGGTCCCCGCTTCCCAGACTCGGGGCTCAGGGAGGGGTTGGTGTTCGGCTCGTGGAATTCAACCCTTGCCTTGACACTGCCGCTGTCAAATGCTGCCGAGAGGAAAAAGCAGGGGGTCAGTGTGGGTCCGCCCTGGTTTCGTCCCTCCTACTGACCAGGCCTGGGTCCACGATGCTGGGTTTAACGTGCTTATTTTTTTTTTTTTTAAATATGTTTTATTGATTTTGTACAGAGAAGAAGGGAGAGGGATAGTTAGAAACATCAATGAGAGAGTGTCATCGATCAGCTGCCTCTTGCACACCCCCTACTGGGGATATGCCCGCAACCAAGGTACATGCCCTTGACCGGAATCGAACCCGGGACCCTTCAGTCCCCAAGCTGACGCTCTATCCATTGAGCCAAACCGGTCTCAGCTAACGTGCTTTTATGTACGGTAGCCACAGGCCTGGCATTTGGCTCCGTCGTCCGCACGATAACCCTGTGATGTGGACACTGATTAATCCCGTTTCACAGATTCAGATACTGACCCCGGGAGACACCGAGAAGCCTGCCCAGGGGCACGTGGCTGCCAAGCGGGGAGGCTGAAACCCAAGCTCAGGTGTGCCTGCATCCCCGCCCCTGTGGCCCAGCTGGCGTAGCTCAGGGGTTGATGATTGACCTGTGAACCAGGAGATCACGGTTCGATTCCCTGGTCAGGGCACCTGGCTGTGTTGCAGGCTGGATCCCCGGTGTGGGACGTGCAGGAGGCGGCCCATCAATGATTCTCTCTCGTCGTTGATGTTTCTCTCTCTCTCTCCCTCCCTTCCTCTCTGACATAAATAAAAATAGATTTAGCCGAAACCGGTTTGGCTCAGTGGACAGAGCGTCAGCCTGCAGACTGAAGGGTCCCAGGTTCGATTCCGGTCAAGGGCATGTACCTTGGTTGCGGGCACATCCCCAGAGGGGGGCGTGCAGGAGGCAGCTGATCGATGTTTCTCTCTCATCCACATTTCTAGCTCTCCATTCCTCTAAGAAAAACAATAAAATACATATTTAAAAAATAGATTTGAACCTCACCTCCGGTCCTCTCCTTGCCTCAAACGACGCACAGGAGCCGGAGGAAGCCATGGGCACCGTTCTCAGTCACCATGTCCCTCTCCCGACAGCGGGTGTCTCTCCGACTGTTCTCACAGAGTCCGTCTGTGACCTGCTCCCGCCGAAGGAGAAATGAGCTCACTCCGACCTGCCCCAGCAAGAGCCCAGCACAGGATCCCTTCTGCCGCCTCGGGAAGAATGTTCCATTGTGGCCTCATGGTTACCATGGCGCCAGTGGGCAGACGTCTGGGCCTGGGCACTCGGGAGGAGCCAGGGTGAAAAGCCCGCCTGTCTCCTCCACTTGGCAAGGCTCTTCTGGGTGCCTGGCTTTCCCCGGGGCTGACCGAGAAGGACATCGGGTCACAGAGTCCCGTCCGGTGGCGGCCCTGGTCTGTCTGCCTCCTCGGCACGCGGGGTGGTGAGACTGGGCGGAGGAAGCCCGAGGCCAGGGTGGGTTTGGTTTTTCCAGTCCCTGCCAGCATCCTCCTACTCCCAGCGTGGCTTCCTGGGAGGCTGAAACCTTTTTCTTTTTTCTTTTTTTTTTTTTTAAATATTTTATTGATTTTATACAGAGAGGAAGGGAGAGAGATAGAGGGTTAGAAACATCGATGAGAGAGTCATCGATCAGCTGCCTCTTGCACACCCCCTACTGGGGATGTGCCCGCAACCAAGGTACATGCCCTTGCCCGGAATCGAACCCGGGACCTTTCAGTCCCCAAGCCGATGCTCTATCCATTGAGCCAAACCAGTCCCGGCCTTTTTCTTTTTTTTTATATAAAGTGAATTCTTTATAAAAATATAGTTATATATTTTAAAAACATATTTTATTGATTTTTTTTTTTTTTTTTACAGAGAGGAAAAGAGAGGGATAGAGTTAGAAACATCGATGAGAGGGAATCATTGATCAGCTGCCTCTTGCACACCCCCTACCGGGGATGTGCCCACCACCAAGGGACATGCCCTTGACTGGGAATCGAATCTGGGACCCTTCAGTCGGCAGTCCAACGCTCTATCCACTAAGCCACACCGGTTGGGGCAATATATTTATATTTTTAATTGATTTCAGAGAGGAAGGGAGAGGGACAGAGAGAGAGAAACATCCAATGATAAGAGAGAATCATGGATCGGCCTCCTCCCGCATGGCACACGGGGGATGGAGCCCACAACCCAGGCGTATGCCCTGATGGGGAATGGAACCATGACCTCCTGGTTCGTAGGTCCACACTCAGCCACGAAGCCTCGCCGGCCGGCCGGGCCTCAGCCCAGCTGTCTTTAGCGGCTTCAAACCAGGCCCCCGAAGGCTCTGTCAAATCATGGGGCCCGGGGAGGGGGGGAGAGGGGGGGGAAAGAGCGGCCTTGGGTTCAGCACAAACGCCAGGACGGAGGAGAGTGCTGAGAGAGAGAACCGGGCCGCCTCCGAGGAGGACAGAAGAGGCCGAGGCAGGCATGCATGCGCTCTGAAGATTTCTGAGGCAGGAGGGCCCTGGGAGGTTTGGATTTTACCTTCAAACGTTAGACAAGAGAGACCTCCCGGCCCAGGGTAGGTGTCCGGTGCAGCACTCATCACAGTAGCCAAGAGGGAGAAGCAACTCAAATGTGTCCACCCCAAGGTGAAGGGATTAAAAAAAAAATTTTTTTTTTAAAAGTGGTGTAGACACACAATGGAAGATTATTTGGCCTTCAAAAAAAAAACGAGGAGCCGAAACTGGTTTGGCTCAATGGATGGAGCGTCGGCTTGGGGACTGAAGGGTCCCGGGTTCGATTCCGGTCAAGGGCATGTACCTTGGTTGCGGGCATATCCCCAGTGGGGGGTGTGCAAGAGGCAGCTGATCGATGACTCTCTCTCATCAATGTTTCTGACTCTCTCTCTCCCTTCTTCTCTGTACAAAAATCAATAAAATATATTAAAAAACAAACAAACAAACAAACAAACAAAAAAGGACATCTTGTCACATGCTACAGCATCATCACACATCCCTCGTCCCGGGAAGGTCCAGCCAGCCCTAGCTGGTGTGGCTCCGTGGATAGAGCGTCGGCCTGCAGACCGAAGGGTCTCGGGTTTGATTCCGGACAAGGGCACATGCCTGGGTTTCGGATTCAATCCCCAGAGTGGGGCTTGCAGGAGGCAGCCGATGAATGATTCTCGCTCATCATTGATGTTTCTCTCTCTCCCTCTCCCTTCCTCTCTGAAATCAAAAAAAAAAATTTTTTTTTTTTTTTAAAGAAAAGTCCAGCGAGTGGAAACTTGATTCCATCCATCCCAGCCGCCAGGCCAAATGCCTCCCTGGCGTTGGTGTGCGACGATCATTTCTGCCGCTAGGTGGCGCTCTTGCCGCGACAATCTACATTCATGGTTTCTCTAAGGGGCAGCTAGCTGGGGGCACTCAAGAAAACAAATGATAACGTGAAAAGGGCCTCTACACTCAAGATTCCTTGGCAGAGAATTTGCAAACAGCAAGAGAGAGAGAGAAAAAAAAAATGCTCAAAAGCAAACGTGTTTTCCCTGGTTCCTGATCACTGTTTTTAGAAAGAACTGGGTTTAGGAAAAAAAAAAAAAAAAACCCTACCTGCCCTCGTTAATGCATTGAAAATGTTCAAACTTAAATTACAGTGCTGGTGTTTTCTCTTTACTTCATTGGTGTCAGCTGGCTTCTTCATCGATCTCGTTTTCCAAGGCAGCTGGGCACCTGGACTGTCTTTCAACGAACTCTCAAAGCAGAGGCTGCACAGCCTGACTGGCCCCTCAGGAAAGTGTCTGTCTGCAGGGTCACCGCCCTGGGTGACAGCCTTAGACCATTACTCCTGCGTCACTGAAACTTGGGGTTCCAGCTGCTCTTCGGATTCCCTTGCAGCATCTTTTTTTTTTTTTTTTTTAATATATTTTATTGATTTTTTACAGAGAGTAAGGGAGAGAGAGAGAGCTAGAAACGTCAATGAGAGAGAAACATCGACCAGCTGCCTCTTGCACACCCCCTACCAGGGATGTGCCCGCAACCAATGTACATGCCCTTGACCGGAATCGAACCAGGGACCTTTCAGTCTGCAGACCGACGCTCCATCACTGAGCCAAACCGGCTTTGGCCCTTGCAGCATCTTATTGGGGGGAAGGGGTATGAACCCAGGAGACTCATTAGCCTGAGTGCCTGCCTCTGCCCAGAGCTCAAAGGTAAGATTTTATTTGATAGAAACTCTTGTCGCTGTCAAAACAAACAAAAGACCCTCAAAAGCCACTATTTCACAAAGACCCAGGGGCATCAAGTGGCCGTGGATTACACTTCAACGCTCTCTGTTTCTTAAAAACGTGGGTTTTAAAACTTGATTTAAGAGACAGAGGAAGGGAGAAGGAGAGAGAGAAACATCAATGTGTGAGACACTGGTCGGCTGCCTCCTGCACGCCCCCTACAGGGGATCGGTCAGCAACCTGGGCGTGTGTCCTGACCCCGGATGGAACTGACAGCCTTTTGGTGCATGGGACCACGCTCAACCAAACCCAGCCACACCAGCCAGGACTCAGTCACATTTTAGTTTGAGATGAAGATAACAATGACTTTTTTCTTTCTTCTTGATGTAGCAAGCTATCAGAGTTCAAGAAAAACAAGTGTAATACATCCTTCATCTGTAGGTAGCAATCTTTCTACTATCAGCGTTAACTTTATGACCGGGAGATCATTAGGCACGATCTTTTTACAAAACATTTTTAGAATTTT